CACCTCCTAACTTGATTAGAAGCTTAACTTGAATTTTGAAAACTGCAGGTCAGTTTGGTCAAAATCTGACCAATCGCTGTTTTCACTAATTTGCATATTTTTTGGTATAAAAAGTAGGTTAGTTTGGTCGTGTCTTGCATACAAGTTTTCAGATAGATAAGAGGACTAGAGACTACAGCGTTCGCTAAGTACTGAGTGCGAATGACTTGACTTCGTGATGTCAAACAAGCGACTAACGAGCCGCGAGCCAATCACTGGAGGAGTTTAAATACTGACCCATGAAGTCAGGTGATTCACTAAGTCAGGTGATTTCACTAAGTCAGGTGACTTCACTAAGTCAGGTGACTTCACTAAGTCAGGTGACATTTAAAATGATGTCCACGATGTCCTAATGTGATGTCAAAACCCTTGCCTGGTTCCCTAATTGGAATAATTCATACGATTAAAATTACAATTACAATTAGTAAATAAAAATTTACAAATTTATACACGTAAATAAAGTATTCCTTAGAAGTCCTTCGTGCTAAGTGGGGATAAATATAGCTCTCAAAAGATTAAATTGAAGAAGCTCTATTTTTCAATTTAACAATCTATTTGGAAAATTTTTGCTACGATAGACTGTGGTATTGAGATCCGATAGTCTTACCTAACACCTCCCCTAACCCCAAGGCCAGTCCTTACCCATTTCCCCCCTTCCAAATGGGGTTTCTTCCCCTACCCCAACACCCCCTTGGCTTCCCATCATCATTATAAATGCGGCAAAGGAACATCCAATTTAAAAGTTTTGACACTCGGGCTTTAGGTGAAGAAAATCTGTTTCAATTTCCCATGTTGTTCACCTGTCCGCACTGTTAAATAACTCACCTGGGCACCTACACCTCGTCTCTCTCTCTATTAGGGGTTATTCATGCCCGTGCTACCTCTTGGGGGTGGCTTAATCTTTATCAATCAATCAATCAATCGTCTCTCTGGCTCACTGGTTCCTTCCCCTGGATCTTCCAGGTGAAAGGAGAGACATTATTTTAAACACAAATACTCACATGCTTCCCCCTTACGGGTTATTCATGCCCGTGCTGCTTTTTGGGTGGTTTAATCTTCATCAATCAATCACTCATACTCACACTTTTGATTGACACCAGTTGATTGACAGTTGAGAGGTGGGATCAAAGAGCCCCAAAGTGCTCAACTCCCGCAAGCACAACTAGATGAGTACACTCACACACACACACACACACACACACACACACACACACACACACACACACACACACACACACACACACAGAAACGTTCCAAGCATAGGTTAAGTGAACATAATGTCACAGTTATAGACGAGAGACGAAACAGAGAGGAGATATGATTATTACATACAAGATTCTCAATGAAATAGTCAAAGAGAACAAGGACAGCCTCTTTCAACTGAGGGAAAGCTGAACAAAACACAGGTGGAAGCTAGAAACGCAAATAACGATAAGCAATGGAACGAAATGTTCAAACAATATGCATTACTGTACCTAGTGTTATGTAGGCGATGAGTCACAATAACGTGGCTAAAGTATGTTGACCAGACCACACCCTAGAAGGTGAAGGGACGACGACGTTTCGGTCCGTCCTGGACCATTCTCAAGTCGGTTGTGGTGGAATGGTCTACTAGTGTTATGTTTTCCAGGGAAAGAGTCGTGCATAAAGAAGCATAAGACTTCTTGCCTAAAATTGGCTATTTTCTAAGGTAGTTTTTGATCGTTAATCTACATGGCTTCCTACAGTGTAATTCGACTTAACGAGTGATAAGGACTGTCTGCCATAAAGGAATTTGTATGTATATCTTGAGATGATTTCGGGGCTTTTAGTGTCCCCGCGGCCCGGTCCTCGACCAGGCCTCCACCCCCAGGAAGCAGCCCGTGACAGCTGACTAACACCCAGGTACCTATTTTACTGCTAGGTAGCAGGGGCACAGGGTGAAAGAAACTCTGCCCAATGTTTCTCGCTGGCGCCTGGGATCGAACCCAGGACCACAGGATCACAAGTCCAGCGTGCTGTCCGCTCGGCCGACCGGTCTCATGTATACGACAATTATCACTACACTACTTTTTTAATCGCAGAATAACAAGTGTTAAAACAGTGTTTTGAACATAAAAGTCATATCAATAACGAGGATTTAATCGCGTTAATAATAACGTTCTCTTATCGTTCTTAATCTTATTTTTAATAATCTTAATTATTTTCTTAATCTTACCTTATCTTAATGTTCTCTTTAGCCTCTTGTTTGGTCCTTATTCAATGGTTATAATCTCTCCTCAAATCTCCTTGTGGTTATCTTGAGATGATTTCGGGGCTTAGCGTCCCCGCGGCCCGGTCCTCATCCAGGCTTTCTTTTTGTTCCATACCCCCAGGAAGCAGCCCGTAGAAGCTATCTAACCCCCCAGGTACCTATTTACTGCTAGGTAACAGGGGGCATCAGGCAGAAAGAAACTGCCCATTTGTTTTCCGCCATCGCAGGGGATAGGTCACTGGTCCACATGACTACGAATCCATTGCGCTGACCACTCAGCCATTGGCCCCCCTGGTGATTTAAGTCTTAAGAGTTTCTTTCACCCTGATACCCTTTGTTCACCAAGCAGTAAATAGGTACCTGGGAGTTAGTCAGCTGTCACGGGCTGCTGCTTCCTGGGGGGTGGAGGCCTGGTCGACGACCGGGCCGCGGGGACACTAAAGCCCCGAAATCATCTCAAGATAACCCCCCATCCCCCACACCTTAAGACTCCCACGGGAAAAGGTAAGAAGAATGACCTGATGTACAAGAATGGAGCTTTTAATCCACCAAGTCTGTTAATTACAAACTCGAGAGAGAGAGAGAGAGAGAGAGAGAGAGAGAGAGAGAGAGAGAGAGAGAGAGAGAGAGAGAGAGAGAGAGAGAGAGAGAGAGAGAGAGAGAGAGAGAGAGAGAGACAGAGAGAGAGAGAGAGAGAGAGAGAGAGAGAGAGAGAGAGAGAGAGAGAGAGAGAGAGAGAGAGAGAGAGAGAGAGAGAGAGAGAGAGAGAGAGAGAGAGAGAGAGAGAGAGAGAGAGAGAGGAGAGAGAGAGAGAGAGAGAGAGAGAGAGAGAGAGAGAGAGAGAGAGAGAGAGAGAGAGAGAGAGAGAGAGAGAGAGAGAGAGAGAGAGAGAGAGAGAGAGAGAGAGAGAGAGAGAGAGAGAGAGAGAGAGAGAGAGAGAGAGAGAGAGAGAGAGAGAGAGAGAGAGAGAGACAGAGACAGAGACAGAGAGAGAGACAGAGAGACAGAGACAGAGAGAGAGAGAGAGAGAGAGAGAGAGAGAGAGAGAGAGAGACAGAGAGAGAGAGAGAGAGAGAGAGAGAGAGAGAGAGAGAGAGAGAGAGAGAGAGAGAGAGAGAGAGAGAGAGAGAGAGAGAGAGAGAAAGAATATTCCTAATTTTGAATCTTGGACTTTAATTACTGTCCTCTTTTTTTTTGGCCATTCTGTGGTTGTGATTAAATTTCTTTTTTTGTTTTTGCTTTGTCTCTCGTCGTCTCTCGTTTTATTTAAGTATCCCTTGGACGATATTAATCAGAATACAGAATAGAAAGAAAACGTGTGATTACCCCTTTGTTTTAGATCACTGAGGGGACCTTTTGGGGGCTTCAAGCCTCCCCCCTTTGGTACACACCCCTTTGGGAGAGTACCAAGGAGTCAGTTTTTTATATTAAAAACCTAGTTACCTATGGGGGGGAAAGGGGGAGGGAAAGGGGGAAGTATAGGAAAGGGGAAGAGATCTTATCTTAGATGGGAAGGTATGGGTGTGGATGGGAATAAGAATAGGGGAGGAGTTGGGGATTGGGGCAAGAACGAAGGGGAAGAAAGGGGATAGTGAAGGTAAGGGGGAAGAATGTCTTAGATGATAAGGAAAGACGTGAAAGGGGAATTAGACACAGGTTAAGGAAAAGGGAGAATAAGGCATAGGATAGGGAGAAATAGAGGGTAAGGGGACTTTACGAGAAGGGGAAGTGTGGAAGAGGGTAGAGAGAGAGGATTGACGGAGGGGAAAGAGGGATAGAGGGTAGGTAGATAGGGCCAGAGCACTGCCTATTCTATAATAAGTATTTAAAAAATTAGAAAAATTGGGGGTGTCACTACAGCATCGTTATTCATTAACCTAACCTAACCTAACCCAACCCAACCCCAACCCAACCCCAACCCATCCTAACCTAACCTAAACAAACACAACCTAACCTATCCTATCCTAACCTAACCTATCCTAGCCTAACCAAACCTAACCCAACCCAACCCAGCCTATTCCAACCTAACCCAGCCTATTCCAACCTAACTCAACCTAACCTAACCCAACCCAACCCATCCTAACTTAACCTAAACAAACCCAACCCAACCTAACCTAAACAAACACACCCTATCCTAACCTAAACAAACACACCCTATCCTAACCTAACCCAGCCTAACCTAACGAAAATAAGAGATAAAAGTTTATAATTTACATATGGTGTGTGTACCAGGTGCGTGACGTCACTATATCATAATATAAATAATAGAACAGGTTTTGGATCCAACTGGCTGTTGGTGTTGGGCTTAAGGCCAACACACACTTTCCAACCAGAAACTTAATTCAAGAACATTGTTCAAGTTTCACGGTGAACTTCTTAGATAAATATACATCCAAAGGTGGAATACACATTGATTAAGGGTCGTTAAGGGTCGTTAAGGTAAACAATCCATGACGTCACGTGTTTTTGTCAAAGTAAACAACCAATGACGTCACAGGTAGTTGACAGGGTACATAAACTATGACGTCACTATAGGTTGGTTGTCTGAACAGACGTAAAAGTACCTTCTAGTACTCAGGGGGAACGTTAATACCCAATCAGAGCCTGTTGGTGAGTCCCTTGCAGCCAATCAGAGCCTGTTACTAAGTCCCTTCCAGCCAATGAGAACTCTAACCTAGCTTATATATAATCCGGTTATGGCTCGGGCAGGCTCAGTGTCTTCCTGGCGGTGGGAGGGAGAGGTTCTCGACGTCCGGGAGGTAAAATGCGGTTTTTGTGGTCCATTTTTGTTGATATTTTGTTAATTGCGAGAGGAAGTCTTTGACTGAATCTCGTAATATTGAAAACGTTTTGGCGAAATATTTGTTTAAATGCTAGTTATTAAAGTTAACAGGGTCAGGTAGGGTTGATAAGGACTATGAACTATTGGGTAAATGGTAGAATTGTTTAATAATAAATTACTCGTGCATGAAGTGGGGTAATTATTGGCCCGAGTACACTTGGCAACCTACAACAGCTTCGTGTATTGGGTTTTCTTTAATCTGTTTTAACATTTTTATTTTCAGTTAACTTAAGACACTAAAAGATGGGATTGGCGTTTATTCTTGTACTTCTGTCTGTGGCTTTCTACGCTTCTGTCGTAGAGATTGAAGGTAAGACTTGAGTATTGCTGGTAAACTACTTGGAGTGGACGGTAGAGTAACAGTCTCGCATCTTGCAAGTCGGTGTTCAATTCTCCGACTGACCATTAAGTGATTGGGGACTGTTCCTTCACCCCGTCCCATCCCAACTCCTTATCCTGACGCCTTCAAAGTGTTGCATACCTTGAGGTGCTTCCGGGGCTTAGCGTCCCCGCGGCCCGGTCATCGAGCAGGCCTCCTGGTTGCTGGACTGATCAACTAGGCTGTTGGACGCGACTGCTCGCAGCCTGACGTAAGAGTCACAGCCTGGTTGATCAGGTATCCTTTGGACATAGCCATAATTGCTTGGTATATTTTTTCCCTTAATCTCCTCCCTCTGCATTTCAAAAATTTTAGAAACTCTAATTTCTTTTATTTGTTCCTCTCCAGGCACGAATAGTTCGCTAAAACGGTACTCGGCATGTTTTTGGTATGTTGACGTTCCTGACGGCCAGGTAGCCATGACGCTACAGAGATGTTGCAGACGAGTTGCATGCAACAATGGTCGGGTGGAACAACGCCACATTGGGGAACTTGAAGCCTACAAGTGTGAGTATTTTTAAAGCTTGGGGAAGCTTGAGATTTGACATTTGCTGTATTTGATCAAATTTTATGAATTGTCTACTTCCTAGGGAAGTGGGGGAAAATTAATTCTTTTGAAATTGTTTTTAGCTCGTTACAGCGGACACTGGCTAGTTTGTGCACTCCCTTGTTCGTCCTGGGAGAGCCAATCCCTAACTCCCCCCTCTTCCCAACGTCAAAATGTGTGCTATAAATCGCAGCGGTTTGCTAATTTGTCTGTTAAGTTTTTTATTCATAGGTTAGATTACTCTAAAGAATTTTTTTTCTCGTTGACAACCCAGAAGTGAAGACTCGAGGATAGCAGAGAATGTTGTCTATATTAGACTGTCAATTGTTTGTTTCTTAATTTGCAGTCTACTATCTGTATAAAATTTTATCTATCTTGACTATCTAGCTAAAAACAAATCTGTGGAATCCCTTGTAAAATAAACAAATCCAAAAGGGCCGTGACGAGGATTCGAACCTACGTCAGGGAGCAACCCATACGCATCCCTTGTTAATAAATCATAATACATCCGCAGCTCCATACAATTTTTCCTTTAACAGTTCCTCAGTTATATATAGAACTACGGGCTCGCCATAGCCCGTGCTACCCAGAACTTTTTGTTCCAGGTAGCGAATTTAAAACGATAACAATCCTCAGAGGTGCATAATTCTGGTGAAGTTTCATATTAAAGTGTTCCTCGTATATTAATTATTTCTTTGTAGTCTGTGAATTGGATGGTGTTTTGTACCCTCCGGGCTAAGAGCTGTCTGCTGGCCTCTAGTCTGTCAAGACGGAAATTGGACGTTCCTGGGACGCATACAAGACTGCTGTAAGATTATTAAATATTCGGGAATTTTTTAGAAAGTTGGAGGGAGGGTGTTTGATACAGTATCTAGCCTTGGTTTAAATGATTTAAAAACATAGATTCCTACATTTTAGTCAAGATTTTGTTTATCGGGTAAACAGTGTGTAGTGTACAACTACAACCACTTTGTGACCTTTGACGAGTACCGCTACGATTGGCGAGGCGAGTGTAACTACTCTCACTCAGTGACTCTACTCAAGAGCCTCAGATTGGCAACCCGTCCTCGACTCAAGTCCATTACATCCAGCGGTCGACCCCACAGACGCATTCATAAATTTTAACATGCTGTTCATTCAAAACGGGAATTTTCTCAAGTATAAATTAATATTATAATATATTAGCATATTGTGCATATATAGGCATAGGTTAGGTTAGGTGTTTAGGTTCTGTTGGCGATTATTTGTATTTGTAGTACGTGGGTGAAGCATTTATAGCGTTGTGATTCGAACAAAATTAATCAGTGAAGCACTTGTTCCGGATATGTTCGAACGTCAGCAGTTGAGTCGTGTGTAAACCGCTTTTCATTCATAAACAGGGGGTTTGGCGGGTGGATGGAATCGCTTTTGGATCTTTGTTTGGAGGACGGGCTGCAGATTCGAGTCTTCAGTGACTCGAAGCGCTGCTTCGGTTGCGGTTCTGTCTGGGGTCGACCACTTTCAGAAACGATCCCCACACCCTAATCACCATTGATTCTGGCTCCGTCTTTGACGTAAGTATTGTATTAAGGTCTGAGGGGGGGGAGAGAGAGAGAGAGAATTATAATTTAGTCAAAGTTTTCTTTGTTAAATGTGCTGCTAGAAAATGGCTTATACAATAGTTTTACTTTTAGAAAACATTAATTAAAACTGCTTGCTGGTCTTAAATGACTTCTACGTGAAATTATAAAGTTCTAATTTTCTATAGCTAATAGAACTAGCTTACTAAGTCTGTTGCGAAAAATCTTCCATTTAGTTCTAAAATTAGTTTCTTTTTAATTTTCTCCCTCCCAGCATTATAACGAGGAAATATTAAAATTTCCAGAGTAAATGCTATTTTATTTGTCTAGGTCTTAAAAATTTATGAAATTTAAAACAAAACTACGTTTAGGTGTTTTGTCTTAAATTAGTCTGTTAAGAAACTAATTTGGGGAACTTAATGGTAATTCCCCCCCCCCCCTTAGTGCTCTCGCGAAGAGTCCAGGGGTCAGATTCACGAAAGCACTTACGCAAGCACTTACGAACGTGTACATCTTTCCTCAATCTTTGACGGCTTTGGTTACATTTATTAAACGGTTTACAAGCATGAAAACTTGCCAATCAACTGTTATTATTGTTATAAACAGCCTCCTGGTGCTTCGGAGCTCATTAACTGTTTAATAATTGTAAACAAAGCCGCCAAAGATTGAGAAAAAATGGACAGGTTCGTAAGTGCTTGCGTAAGTGTTTTCGTGAATCTGGCCCCGGCTAGTTACTTATTTGTATACAGGTAAAATGTTAAATTATTCATTCTTGGAAGATTGCAATGGCTTCCAGTAGCTAGTGGTCAACGGAGCGACGTCCACCGTACCGGAAACCGGTGTTGTCCAAGTAACTTCAAGGACTGGTCCTCGACCTGTTTTACTTAGCCTGGCGCCTTGAGAACTGTGTCGTCCTCGTCGGCTCTTCCAGGATCGCGGTTAGTAATTTTTGTTTTAATTATAACGCAATTGCTAGTTTTTTTTTAATCGAATTATTGAATACTAGAACTAAATTTGTTTGGGTATTGTCGGCTGCATCTGTGTAGAAACCGGTTGGGTGTGTGGACTCGCCTCTAGCCATATAGAGGGACTAGAGGGTCTCTGTAGACACTTCAACATGTAGTGTAGGAACCGGTTGGGTGTGTGGACTCGCCTCTAGCCATATAGAGGGACTAGAGGGTCTCTGTAGACACTTCAACATGTAGTGTAGGAACCGGTTGGGTGTGTGGACTCGCCCTAGCCATATAGAGGGACTAGAGGGTCTCTGTAGACACTTCAACATGTAGTGTAGGAACCGGTTGGATGTGTGGGTTCACCCTAGCCACATAGAGGGACTGGAGGGCCTCTGTAGACACTTCAACATGTATGTTAGGGACCACTTGACGGATAGAACCAACACAGTCCACCAGTTGCAGTTCTTGGCCCCAGAAGTTTGCCAGTTCTTGGCAGGTATAACACGATAGCTTAACTGTATGTTGCGTAGATTATTACTGGTGATAAAACTTGGTTTGTTAGAATGAATACTCTAGACGTCTGATCTTGTTAGCGGTTGCTATGGTTTTTTTCAGTAGTTCTTAGCATTAATTACTAAGCCTCTAGCACTTAAGCACAAGACTTCGTTCATTTCTCCCATTTTTTTTTTTGCAATGCCATTGCAGTATTAAAGCAATGGGGCGGATATGGTTGGGCTACATCCATAATTAGTGCCCGACACTAGATTTAAATTAGTTTTTTTTGAGCAACTTCAATTTAGATTTTCTTAATCGTCTAATTGCCGTCGTCAGGCTTGAGTCATCAAACTGATAAGGAATTGATGCTGGAAATAGATTTAGCTGCTGCAGTTTTTTGTAAAATCTATCTTATCACTAATTTCCAGTTCCTCAGACGGATATCCAGACCTCTGTGAATTGCCTGTCTGTTCCAACTACAGACACAGCTTGTCTGGAACTGCAGGTAACTTAGACGTTAACTTTTAACTTCACGTATTGCCAATCTGACCAAATTAGGAATGTAAACAATGAACTACGAAGTGTCTGTTAACAGGGCAGTTCCTGTGTGGCTACAGACCCACAGATGGAAGCCCACAGGAGTACGTGTAAGGAACGTCTTTTCGCTTCCATTGGTGACTTCCCTGAACTAATGCACTACATTGGTAAGTTATTTTGTCTTATAGATGGTAAGCAAATTTTCCAAATATTTATTTAGGTTTATAAATTCAAATGTATGTTGGATCTTTTTCTCTTTTTCGAAGATTCTTGCTCCGTCGATCTGTGTGATGTACACGAGCGGCGCCAGTGAGGGTGTGATAGACGACTGACTTCAGAACCTGGTGGACATAGTGAAGGTGGCTGGCCGGCTGCTGCATCTGGCTGGGAAGGGGAGTGGTGCTGGTAGAGATAGT